GAAAATAATTATCATCATTATCAGCTTGTTACAAATACTTTGATTACTTCCGCTAAGAAAATTATATTTTAGTTCACGTTGGTTAGTAAGTTTGTTCGTTGATTATCGGGATAATTCAAGCAGTTACGAACAGATTTTTATGAATTATTTACCAGAGGTGTTTCTTGGCCTAAATTGCATTTCCTTAAATCATGGTGGCGATCCGGATCTAGTTTTTTTTAATGATTTCATCAGTTACCCCTATTGCTTTAGCAATAGGGTAACTGCTATTAACATTCCCTATATCATCTTCGCCAAAGAAGTCGTTTTTACGGACATCAGTGTACTTAAAAAGGTGATTTAAATGAAATTCTTCAAGAGTGAATATTCTTATCACATCAGTGACCCTATTGCCTTGGCGTTATTCCAATTATCATTATTCTTATTAACATTATTATCATTATCATTATTATTGTGTTTTTGGTTGCGTTGGTTAGTTTATTTGTTCGTTGGTTATCAGCATAACTCAAAAAGTTTTGAACAGACTTTTATGAAATTTGGTGATCTGGATCCAGGATTTTTTTTAATGATTGCATTAGTTACCCCTATCGTCTTGGCAATGGGGTAGCTTTTATTATCATTGCCTTTCTCACCTTCGCCAAGGACGTTATGGTTACGGACGTCACCAGTGGATTTGAGAGAATTATTTCAATGTAATTCAAGTGTGAATATTTTATTGCATTAGTGACCACATTGCGCTCGCTGAGTGTTTGTAGTTACTTTTGTTATCATTATTATTATCATCAATATTATTATTATTATCAAAATTATTATCATCTGACTGTTATTTCCATTACTATTATCATTATAATCATTATTGTTACTTTTATCATTTTTGTTATTATTACTAGTAGTAGTAGTAGTGTTATATTATTATTATTATCATCTTTATGTCATCATTATCATTATTACTATCATGACAGTTATTTCCATTACTATTATCATTATAATCATTATTATTACTTTTATTTTTGTTTTTATTACTAGTAGTAGTAGTGTTATATCAGTATTATTATAATCATCTTTAAGTCATCATTATCAATATTACTATCATTATAACAAGTATTATTTTTTATCATTATCATTAGTTATTATTAGTAGTTTTGCTAACACCATTATTACCATAATCATTTTTATAACTTCATTATTATTTCTATTATTATGATCATTATTATTATTATTGCTATCCGTATTACTATAACAATCATTATCATTGTCATTACTGTTGTTTTATTACCAAAATTTAGATCATCACAAAAAATAACAATAACAAAGTAGTGAACCACCCCAGCGGTGGTTCACTGAGCCCACCTTGACCCTGATTTTGAATCACTCATTGTTAATATTATTTCTCTGGCTGGACGAATGCCTACTAAAACAAATGTACTATACTTGGTTTATTCTGGGGCTCAAGAATTTAAACTTACTTTCAAAATAAACACAAGCACGAACCACAAGATCCAGCCGGTACGCCAGGTCAAGGGCAGCTGACGATTCGCGCCAACGGAAGGAGTCACGAGCCGCTCCGACCTGACGAACTGTCTGGTTAACGAGCTAGTTAAGTGCTTGGTAGTCTGGCAATAAAAAAAAAAAAAAAAAAAAAAAAAAAAAAAAAAAAAAAAAAAAAATATATATATATATATATATATAATATATATATATATAATATATATATATAATATATATATATATAAATCAAAATGCTGAAAGGCAAAACAAAAAAATGAGAATACAAATGCAAAACAAAAAGGTAAGATAAAATATAAAATGTCTCGGTGTTCCTGACAAAGTTAATAAGAAATAAAAATAATTACTGAGGCGGGCCACAACATGTCCCCTTCAATACTAATGATAATAATAATAAATATTATTATCATTTTTATTATTATCATTATCATTAAAATCATTACTATAATTATTACTAATAACGATAATTAGAATAATAATAATTATTATTATTAGTTGTAGTAGTAGAAGTATTACTACCATTATCATTATTACAATTGTTATCATTATTACCACGACCATTACTATAATTATCATCACTATTACTGTTATTATTAGCATCATTTTCAATGTCATTATAAGTATTATTACTAATAACATTTTTACTACTTATGTTGTAATTATCATTATCATCCTTACTATCATTTTATCACTAATATTATTACCCTTATGACTACCATTATTAACACTTAATTATTATGATCATTATCATCATCCTTATTGTCATTATTGTTAATTCTGTTACCTTTACTTATTACTTTTTTACTATTAATACTGTTATCATCATTAATTTTATTATCATGTTATTATTATTACCATCTCTTTCTTACATTAGCAGTTTGTTTCACTTATAGTTATTGTAACACACATGGTTAAAAGAAATTGTTCATATAGGTAACGCGGTGATGTTTAGATTTGTTCTTTCTCTCTTGTAAATTTGGATTTCCTGGAACTGTGCCAATGTACTTTGAAGCATCCTTTATTTAAGCCTTAAAGAGCCTACAACTACTGGTATTATCGTTTATTAGTGTCACATTCTATCTCTATTTACAAGTCCTTATATTTGGACAGTTTCTTTACT